GGCATGTTGCTCCAACATGAAGCCAGGAACTCTCTTTCTCTGCTATCTGGGTACCATCACTTGAGTGATTCAAAGTGTCATTTGGACTTCTGTTTGAAATTTGGTAGATGAAATTGCTGGACTCGGACCCAGCTGTATAGGAGTGGTATCTTTTGTGTGTGCTGGTATGCATAGAGATGGGAAGTTCAAAGTCTGTCCAAACTGATGGTATAAAGGAAAGGAGAAAAGCAAAAGCTGTGTCTTCCTCAGGGCCGAGATTTATGGGATAATGTTAGTACAGCCCAAATGTGAGCTCAAGCCAGGTGACCTTAAGTCACTAAGCAATTACTTGGGGCTGTACACCTACAGATATGAAGGCTATGCCAAATGGAAACATAAAGGAGCATACCTATTGGAGGCTCCCACCATCAGACTGTATCTGTGATAAGCAATGACTTTCTGTGGCCCAGAATATGACTGCTATTAGGCTAAGACCAGAGCCAGTCTACCGGGTGGCAGGCACTAGGGCTAGAGGGGCAGTCGTGTTATCAACGGCCAAGCTTATAGGCATACAGGTGCCCACAGAGGGCAACCTCAATTCAGAGAAGCAGAATACCTGGTACTTGGAGTGACTGAAATGGTAGGAGGCAGTGCCACCGCTTCAGGGTCAGGGGCAAGGGGTATTCATGGTATGGAACACAAGCCACAGGCGTAAGGACTATGTACTCATTGTTTCTGAGAACTCACACATCTCCCACTACATTACCAATACAGTAGCACACATCCACCCAGGCCCTTGTCAGCCACTCAGCCTCCATACACAATGAGCCCATCTCTCCAGTAACCAAACAGGAGATTAAGAGTTCGACTCATTGCCTACTTTCCTGAAATTCTACAAAATACACTATTTGGACACCGTAACATTGATAGAACCAGTTTCCAAATCTAGAAAGGTAGTGAAGCTGATTCTCAGGCATGAAGAGACCTGTGTAACCTTAACACGAATGATGAAGATCTTCCCTTGAAGAAAGATATCCTGAGAACCTGAGATAAGCCTGAAGAGCAGTGGTGGAATGCAGAGTTCAACAGGGATGATTCTAGTCCCCCTGTGGGGAGTTAAAGACCTGTCTCTGCCTCAGTAACAGCTCTGACTGGAGGGCCATGAGCTGGTAAAGGCTACAAAAGTTAATGTGAATGATCAGTGGGATGAGAATTGTAATGGCAAAGGAGGTCACATATAAAAATCAACTGGCCACATATACAAAGGCCTCTTTTGAACTTACTCCATTCCTAGTTTTATTTACCACATTCAGAATAGGAAAAGCCCTCTTCTGCCACTATTCTAATGATGATGACAACAACTGTGTTGACAACCTGTGTGCACATAAGGGTTAACCAAAGGTGTCGTGTCTCTCTTTTAGCCTTGTTTATGGTGTTAACTTGCAGCCCAGGGTTTCCTTATGACTAGTTAACAGGCCTGGACGCTGTTGTAAAATCTTGAACACAGCTTTCTGCAAAGTTCCCACTGTTCCCCTTGCCCCCACAGAACTCTGGAAAGCCAACATAGCATTATTAATCAAGAAAGTTATGGTAATAAGGAGAGTTAACACACATATACAACCAAGTAAACACTAGTAATATTGGCACTGATAATAGCAACCAATAGTGTGATAGCGTGCAGCAGTTAAGTACACTGGATGAATCTGTACACATATTTGCCTCCAGAGACTAAATGCTGCTCAAAATGTGGAAAGAGCAAGGAGTTGACCACCAACAGACTGAGAGCTAGCTCGGACCCAGTGAGAGACAGCTCCATCAGAAAAATCAGCAAAGTCCCTTTCTTAGAAAGGACAAATGACCTTGAGCCCTTGAGCCCCATATGTTTTCTGTTGATTTGGCTACTCTGATGACGGATGATGCTTTAGTCCAGACTTACAATTGGGCCCAGTTATGACCGAAGCCAGAACCTATGTTCCTTCAGCATGCGTTCCCTACTAAATGAGACAATTAAAATAGGGTTATCTATTATACATGTGACTTCTCTGAGAGCCAAGAAATGTTTTATAAATTGTTTATACACTATGATCTTCAAATTTAAATTCTGGAGTTTTACATTTTCATTAAATTTAGAAATTAGATGAAGGCATTTGCTAGTTAGGACCACCTGACTAGGAGGTGGCAAAGAAGAATTATAAGAAAGAAAAGTTAGGTTTAGGACCACAGATTGGAGAAGCACTGAAACTGCAGGTAAATAAAATACAGTAATTTACCAGAATTTCAAGGAAACCCACATGCCCCCCTTTGAAAAGCAGACCACTTTGGTCTCAGCTAATAAGACCACCTGCAATATGATTTCTTGATCTGAGTAATTGTGCTCAGGTTGTAACTTACATCATCATCCAAATGATCTCATACTATCTGTGCTATACTACTGAATATACATCAAACCTACTGTACACTATAAGCAGAGAAATCTGCCACCAAATAGCTATTAGTATTTAAGTCCCATCAGGTAAGGTGGTTCCATCCCATTTACCCTTGCCAAATCCCCATTCAGCAGGAAATAGATCTGACAGGGTGACCTGAATTCCACAGATCGTGGAATGAGCTGACAGTGGGAAACTGAAGTGGAGCATTCAGGCTGTTTTTGTTAATAACTGGGTTTCTGTATGTAATTAACTGAGGCCCAGAATGCTTTTGTTCATTACTGGAAGTTTGGCCATCACCAAGAAGTCTAGGGGCAGCTACCTCCACCTTCTTGTTTGTTCTTGCTACCTAATCAGTAACAGGAACATCACAAGGCAATAATGATCTTTGTCTCTGAGATTTATAGAACTGTAAAACATCTCATGCCTAGGCAAAAGATCAGATGTGAATCATCCAGCTTGTGGGAAGATGCCTACTCTTCTGAAAATATCAACTTCCTATAAAACCGCCCTAAATCACCTTCCAGAAGAGATGGGCTTTGTGATAAGAGTTCACTATCTTTTCCTCTAGCCAATTTTGGAAGAACACCATCTTCCACTCCTCATCACCTTGTCTCATGATCTAATTAACCTGTCATGGAATGAGCAGACTTGGTCCAACAACATTAACTGTTTTTAACTTACTAGTAATTTATTTAAACAATAATTTTTTGTGTATCAGGGTAATACTGGTTTCCTAAAGCAAGCTCATATTCCCTTGTTTTCAACCAGAATTTGTGTACAATCAGTATTAAAGGTCAGTAGAATTCACCTGTCAGGTTATGTACACTCAGAGCCTTCTTTGTGGGAGGGTTTTTAACTACAAGCTCAACATCTTAATAATGACTTGCTCAGGTTATCCATTTCTTAAATGCAGTTTGGTAGCTTGTGTTTTTGATGGATTTTGTCCATTTATCTAACTTAAGAAATGTATGAACCCTGATTCATAATATTCCATTATTGTCCTTTTAATCTGTAGGATCTGTAGTGATAGCCCTACTTTCTTTTCTAGTAATAGGAATTGTTGTTTTCTTTGTTCCTGGTTAGTGTGGCTACAGGTTTATCACATTGTATCTCATCCAAAAAAAAAAAAAAAAAGCTTTTTTCTGCTTTTTTTGTTGTCGTTTTCCATTTAATCAAATCTTTTCTTTGTTATTTCTTTATTTTCTTTCTTTTTTTGTTCTGGATTTAATTTACCTTCAGTTTCTGATTTTTTCCCCAGTGCTGGAGATTGAACCTGGGTCTTCCACATGCTAGGCAAGCACTCTACCATTGACCTATACCACCAGCCAGCTCAATTTCTGCATTCTTCAGGAGAAAGTTTAGGACTATCATTTTAAAACTTTTGTTTTCGAAAATAAACCAAATTTAACACTATAAATTTCCCCTTAAGTAGTGCGTTAAGTGTTTCCCAAAGACTATGATACGCTGTTTAAATTTTCATTCAATTCAAAATAGTTTCTGATTTCCTTTTTGATGCATGAGTTTTCAGAATATGATCACTGATTTTTAAATATCTGAGGATTTTCCAGATACTTAATACTGATTTCCAGCTTAATTCCATTGTGGTCAAAGAATACAGATACATAAGGGAAAGTATGGAAATCAAACTCAATTTTCCTATGGTCAATCAGTACAATGACATGCCCAACATCAAAGTGAGACAAGATTAAGATAAGTCTTTTATTCTCACTACTACCCTATGTTTTCTTTCAATACCATCTCAAAAGCCCAAATCCTTGTTATTCTCTTCCTACCCTTCAAAAAGAAAAAAGAGGAAGATTCCACGTGCTATTGTCTCATTTGATTTTTTACAACTCTACAAAAGAGGCAAGACATACTATTTCACACATGAGGAAAAGTGAAGCTCAAAGGAAAGACTTGCCTTACTAGTGTGATATGTCTCATTCTCAATTATCCCCTCAAAGATAAAGCAATATAGATCACTGAAACCCATAAATAATTCAAAAAACTCATTTTAGCCACAGGTGGAATTATCACCAACTCAGTTCAGAGTAAATTACAGTAAAACTGACAAGTTTTAAAGTTTTAAAATCTTGACTTCTTATAACCATTTATTATTAGCAAGATTCTGATACAAAGAACTGGTTAAACCTCAGAAAAGAAAAAGCAAATAAACAAAAAAAGGGGGGGGTACAAAATCTGTAGTTTTTTTATTTTTTTAGTTTGGTTTGGCTTGGTATGAGACAGGGCTGGCCTCAAACTCACTATGATCCTCCTGCCTCAGCCTCCTAAGCGCTGGCATTACACGCATGCACCACTCCACCCAGGTACAGATCTCAGCTTAGTAAGCCAAACTACATAGCCATATGTACTTTTCAGACTCACAAAAAAATTAATATGAAATGAATGCATCAAGTCACATTTTTTTCTTTCAAAGTCCTAAACTGTTAAAATAAAAGCTCTAAAATACCATCAGATGTTATTAAAATATGCTAACAGTCAATATTAAATATTAAAATATGCTATCCTATTTCCAGTTAAATTTCTAGACTCTAATGTTATAGAAATTAAATGACCTTAAAAGACTCTTACCATGTAGTTGTTGACTATCGGTTGCAGAGATTTCCCTCAGACAGCATCACCACTTTGGCTTAGATATCACAGTAGTAACAGCAATCAAAATTAAAACTAAAAAGAAAAAATGGAAACAAAATTAAATACCAGTAGGCAAAATGGTTTCAAATCTTCAACACAGTCTTAAATTCAAATTACACATTTTGACAATTTCATCAAGGGAGCTCTAATCCCAGAACTAGTTCTTTTTTAATTAGTTTAAGCACGAAGCTAATATGGTATCTGAATTCCTGTATAATTCCAACTCCCTATCCTAGAATAAACTCTGAAATTAACTTCAAGAACTCACGGTTAATAACAGCCAAAGAGCAGAAAATCAGTCAAGTATATTACAGGTATACTCAACTGAACCACTCAATTCATAGATTCAACAACACACGCCTTTTAAGCTTTGTTACTGTTTATAGAATGAATTCAATACTTATCATTCATGTAAGAATTGTATGTGATGAGAGCCTTTGTATTAATTTTTCCAACAATATTTAAATTTAATAAAAATCTTGGTGATCGTGCTATAAATATTTTAATGGCACATGGGGGGATAGCAATAAAGATTTTCTATCTGCTGAACAGACCTATAAACACCTTATAAAGTGTTTCCAGGACACTGGATATTAGCAGCCAGACCATAGAGCAATCTAACAAATGGTGTTTGCCAAAGTGCTAGAACTCTGAGGTAATAAAAAAAAGTAGTTTCTTACAGTTACGATTTACTTGGGAAGATTAAATAGAAGAAAATGTACCAAATAGGCATTCATTGATTCATTCTTTCATTCATTCAAAACTTTACCAAGCATGTTGCATACACAGGCCATCTTAAAACACTGAATACACAAAACTGATTAAGAAAATGACTTCTTATTTGGGTGACAACTACTTATAATTTTAATTTAAAAAGGAAGATGCATGAACAGGGCTCCCCAAAAGTGGGTTGGATTATACCAAATAGTTTCAGGGAAACCAAGGGTAAGAGAAGTGAGGCTTAGGAAAGGCAATTTCCATATGGAAGAAAAGCAACTTTGAGTCTACCAAAAAGAATGATCTCAACATGCATACTTTAGACATAGTTCGGTAGCTTTTGAGAACAATAGTAATACTGCCAGCATTCTTTTGAAAATATAGGGGGGGAAAAAACCAGAATCATTCAGTGCTACTTTATTTTATACATGTTCTATTTTGCTTACTTAAAATCAAAAGTAGCACACAGCTTTCTTTCTCTTCCTGAGCAGCTGTACAGTATGCTCTTGATTATGCAGAATATGAGAAAAGTGAGCTTTTTCTAAGTAGTAAGTCATCTTATTTACAAATACAGAAAATTATCCCTTAGTTTTAGATTACTCAGACCTCATTTTACCTCTACCGAATCAGACTGACTTGATGACTCTAAGTAACCAGCACTACAAACGTCTCCTTACAGATGGTTATATCCAACTAACTGTGGTCGTAACCGTGCCTAGGGACAAGGAAAGTTTCCCACATCCTGTGTGTTTTCTGGACAACCATTTATGTTTAGGAATTCTTCCATCTGTGTGAAAGGCTACAGAATTATTACTTTCGTTATTTGCTATTACTTGGTCAACACTTTGGTTAGGACCAATCACAACGCTATCATCTCACATACAGTTAATTTACTCATCAGAGTCAGATAATATCTCCATCAAAAATGAAGAACTTGAAGTTCAGGTGACTTGTCCAGGATCACATTAGTAGGAAAAGGCAGAATTAGGATGAGTCTGTCTTACTATGGAATCACTGTTCTTAAAGAGTATTAAGCTGTCTCCTTTTGGACATACACACATGCATTTTTATTTCCTACTGAGCAGCTAACATTTCTAACCTAAGTCAAGAACCATAAAGGACTTGAAGAATTAACTAGACTTGCCTCATCTCACAGCTGGGAAGCACATCTTCCTTCAAAGTCCTTTAAAGTTACAGGTCTGGGGTGGGGATATAGCTCAGTGGTGTCGTGCCTGCCTGGCAAGTGCAAGGTCCTGAGTTACAGGTCAAGGCTATTAAGTGTGAAACACAGCACATCTAGTAAGAGGTGCATTACTGCCATCCCGGGGCTACACATTTACTATATGGAATGCCATCATTTTGATTGTTTACATGCATGGTTAACCTCTAAGCAGTGACCCACAGTGTCCCCTTGTAGCCAATGACCAGTAGCACCCTGTAATTTCCCACCTTGGGCTTGTGTTAGGGACACTCCTACCAGGAATGCCCACTTCTCTTCTTGGTTGCAGGTACCCAAATTGTTTCTAGTCTTGAAAATCCAACCTACTAAAGCCACCTTCATCCACCTGTGCTTCTATCTGCTCAATAAACACATTTTTATTTTGTGTCATGTAGCGTTTATGTGCCTACTCTGAAATCACCAAAGCCCCATCTCTACCCCCAAGCAACTCTTGACCTACCATAAGAAAGGGCATATGTAAAAAAGCAGGTGGGCTGGGGATTTAGCTCAGTGGTGGCCGCCTGCCTCGCAAGCGCAAGGTCCTGAGTTCAATCCCTGGTACCAATGAATAAAGAAATAAATAAAAAATTTTAAGAAGCACGTAGCATTGCATATAACCAGGACTCTAGCACAGGTATACACAGGGTGTAACCAGAGCAAAGAGTGGAATCTGGAGGGAGGCCACAGCGGGGAAGGCTGCACAGAAGCATAAACTGCATTTCAGCCTTAATTCAGGAGATCTAAATTAAGACAGAGATTTTTTTTAAACGTAACAAATCTGAGAGGCTTAGATCTTGGTTGAGAAGTGGAAGGGGATGCTGAGATGTCTTCCAGATGTGGCATCAAGGAGTATGTTGAGGCAGCCAGGTCAACTGAGCTTTCTACAGTGAAAGAAATGTCCCACACAACAATACCACTCAACATGGCAGCCTCCTGCCACAAGGAGCTAAGTGGCGCAAATGCAGCTAGTATCACTGAGGAACTAAATTTTTAATTTTATTTCATTTTAATAGTGTTAATTTAAGTGGCAATGTGTGTCTAGTGGCTACTATGTTGGAAAGTACCACTCTAAAGGTTTTGGCTTGAGGCAGTTGGATGTAAGGTCCTATTACCAATATCTGAGAAGAACATTACAGTGAAAAGCATGACATTCAAGTACCTATTGATTAGAAAAATGAGAAGAACAAACTGGGTGATCATTAAAATCCCATCAAAGATGTACCTATCTTTGCCCATTTGGTTCAGAATGATGTCTCAATACAGCAGCATCAAAAGGTACTTGTGGTATTTCCAGGTTTCAGTGTAACTGCTAAAAAATACTAATACTATATAAAAACTCTTTCTACCATTCAGTGAAAAAGATAAAGGAAAGCTACATAATTGAAACCCAAAAACTTAGGGAACAGACTTTAGGGAATAATAACACCAAAGTCAAACCAGGATAAATAACCACCTGGTTAATTTTTTTTACAGTCTTTTTCTAAAAATAATGTGGGGAAAATCAGACAGTTTTTATGATAATCAGCATGAGTTTGGATAATTTCAAATACAGACCATTCACTTCATAAGCAGTACAAATTCCATTCAGCTTACATTCATCTGTGCATTGATGTGAAAGATGACCAAATTATTTATCTCATGAGGTATCTAATTTTGTTCTATAAGACATTTTATAAGGTCAATGATAACACTGTTTTCCCTAATAGTAAGCCAGTTAATTTTATTTATCCATGACATTTAAAGTCAATACGAAATGAAGAATTCTGTGACAGAAAAACATTTAACCTGAGAACAGGTTGCAGCTAAGTGACTCACTGTTAATCTGCCAACATTCCCCTAATCTGATTGAATTTGGGATTTGGTTGCTATTTTGGTCCTTGCCATCTATCTTAAGCCTCCACATTTCAGTTTTTAAGAAATCAGAATCTAGCATACACATTAACTCCTAATTCTCCATTCAGATTGGCTATTACCCTGCGGCATTTCTGAGCACCACCTCTTCAACCAGGCTCAAATTTTACATTCTTTTTACTTCCTTCTACAAGATCATATCATCAAGTGTTCTTAACTATTCATACATCAAGTTCTATTTACAAGAACATTATCTTCTACTGAACATGCAGCCACTGTAAGATTCAGAGAAACACCTCGTAAAATGTTAAATATGAAATTTGAGCAAGAAGCACATGCCTAGCACAAATAACAGCAATCTGTTTCTTCTCGTGGTCTCAGGTTGATTATCAGAGCTTCAGTTCCCCATTTCATTAGTAGTCCCGCATCATCTACGTTTAGCTGGCCCCACCACTCAATTCACTATATAAGCAAACTCTTACTTTAGATATAAGGCCAAAAGAACATTAGGTAAAATAAGGCAAGGTCCTTGCTCCTATGAGCCTTTAGTTAACTGGTGGAGAACAAATACAACTAAGTATATAACAAATAAAGGAAGAGATGCTTCTGTAAATTAAAAACAGCAGCTAGGTGTGGTAGCATGTACCTATAATCTCAGCTCCTTCAGCTAAGGCAAAAAGATCACAAATTTGAGCCCAGTCAAAGCAACTCAGTGAGGCCTTGTCTCAAAACTAAAAAAGGCTGAGATGTAGCTCAGTGACAGAGTGCTTACCTACCATGTACAAAGCCCATTAATAATGTTAGCTAACATTCACTGTACACCTATGTGTGTAACATTCCCAGCTAGGCATATTTTCATTTCATTGCTAAAACACCAGTCCTCCCAGTTTTGAGTATCTTATGCATTCAAAACTTTCCATCTAAATACAAAGGTGATTTTCTTCATCTTCCATTTGAAAAAAAATGACTAGTAAAACATGAAGTGATCAATTCCTGAGTTAATAGGACTTTGCAGATTCAGGACTGGCCCTACCTGTGGACTAATGGTCCCTAGCCAGAGATCTAATAGCACAAACAAAGCTCTGGGCACTGATTCATTCAAACATGTACTGATGCTAAACAAAGTTCATGGGAAGCTATTATTCTAGACAGAGCTCCTAAACTAGGCTCCAGGAGACCAAGCCAAAAGAGAATAGAGTCACTCAAGCTAGGTGTCATGTGATCAAAAAACTGAACTGTGAAACTG